CAAATAACTTCATTTCTGGACATTTTTTGTATATATGGATCACTTGGGTTGTTACCAACTTCTGGTGAAAATTTCATGTCATTAGCACCTCTAGTAATATATTTACTGAGAAAAATGTTGACGTATTCAATACTTATTTTACCTGCTGTATGAGTTTTGTACTTTTTGTTCTTTTCACAACATTTAACATATTTACCAACATTTTCCCATAGAAACACATTGAGATCTCATCAGTTCTGAAAAACAAAATCACTGTTAACTTTTTTAATCTGCTGAAGCAAATGCTGTTTTGGACTTGTTATTCTACTTTTAACTTCTAGCTATTATTTTGCTACTTTTACCCATGCCTTTGCAAAATATAGCTTCATTTAGCTACATTTAGCTATTATTCTGTGGCTTTTTCTCCACATGCCAATTTTGTGCAAGTCCCTGTGTGTGTTTTTATGATTTACAGGTGGAACATTTACAATACAACAACCAAATCTCATAAATCCTTTTATTTGTGTATTTTAAGGCTAAGAATCAAACTCAGTGTGAAGCCATGATGGAAGTGCAGTGACTCGCACCGCTGCTCTTGCCTGACCTCTAAAGGAATCCACCCTGAAACTCTTTTCTGTTTCCTTTGACATGAAGTTACACGTCGCCACGGTCTCTCTAATTCATCAGCATGAATCCAACGTTCGCAGAAACTGAGGTAAGACAAAAAAAAAATGTTACATTTCTGTAAATATTGCTTTTGATTTAACAAACAGGTGCACTTAAAACTTTTGCTTTAAAAGGATACTTAGGATTTAGTTTGTCCTTCAATTTCCCAAGATACTTTTGATATTTTTCTTCAGCAAAAAAACAGCTGAATAAACCAGTTAAAGCTGAAAACTCAAGAGATGTAATTGAACATGTATGAATTCTTTGGTCTGCATAGATACCCCCCAACAGATGGAGGTTGGTCAAATTGTGTGCACGCAGCTTGTTTCCTGCTAAGAAATTATTTGTAACAAATTTGAAATAGGAAGAAAGTATTTTTCCTATTAAAAAAGCCAATAAAAACAGAGTATTGCTTCAGTAAAAATGCATATAATATTCTTAAAATAGTAATAACTTGTGGGCGTATTGTTGGATGTTGAGTTGGAAAGTACGCTGAGTCAGCATTCACGTTGTAGTTTTTCCCTTTTTATTATTTTTCCGTCCATTTTATGCAATCTAAGTACTTCTGCGTACTTTGTGGTATTTTAGCCGTTCAAGCATCACAAACGTTCGGCTCATTCAGGGGATGACTGATATTACTTTTGGCTTTTGTTAATTTTATACTTTGCTAAATATTTTCTCCATAAAAATCCACTGAGCTACTTTTAGTTCCTCCAAACAGAACTGTTCTCTTTAAAATCTGCTTCTGCATTTTTTCTATTCTTAGTCTGTTTCATAGTTAGCTACTTTTTTTGGCTACCGTTAGCTTTTAGGTAGTGCTTTCCTATTTATGAACTTTAGCTAGCTCTTTTCTGTTAGCTTTTAGTTAGCGTAGTTTCGATGGAGGATGCCCTCCACCGGAGGTGCAGAATGTGTTTTTGTGTAAAACTCGAGATCTCAGCAGTTTTTACTTCGTATCATGAAAAACAGGAGGTCCTGGGCTTAACTGTTCTGGTTTGGCTCTTGGGGAAATTTATGAAATGTGTGGTCAATGTCCCATCTGGGTGTGGCCATGATTATGAAAACTGGCAGCACTGGTTCATCAGTCTCTCTTTGATTTAACCATGAGAAACTCAGCTGACTTTAGACTGTGTTATTCTAAATAAACGTTCACTATTCAAATTAACTTTTTCATCCTCACATCGCACAACAGCTGCGAACTCCGGCGGAGGGCATCCTCCAACAAATTTTACGATGGCCTAAAATTTGGCATCACAATTGAAGGAGGGTGCTTTTTTTTTCTTACTTTTGGCTTTCGGAAAGACTTTCAGATTTCAGCTTGACCTTTTAGCTAACATTTTCTACTTTTAGTTATCTTTGTAATTTTAAATTTTAGTTCACCTTTTATACTAGTTTTGTTTTTGCTACCTTTAACTTTTATTTAGCCTTTTCCCACTTTTGGCTTTAAGAAAGACTTTTGTTACTTTTAGCATTTAGAAAGAATAAAAAGTTGTATAGGTCCTCTGGACGGGTTCTTCTTTAATGAAACGTTTCGTCTCTCCTCCAAAAGACTTCTTCAGTCTGAGAGTTTCAGGCAAAATTCAAGCTTTTAAGTCCTGCCTCCATGTGACTGATACTCACATCACATGGCTATCGTTGACACCTAATTAACACTTATTGTTAACAGGGGGTGGAGTGATACTGGCAATGGCAGCGCTGTAGGAGGGGGACAACTGAAAACGGAGGCCTCCACCTCTGTTTAATGATGGACGGTCTTTCTTCACAAAAATGGCTTCTTTTACTCCTCTCTCAAACCAACGTTCCTCTCTATCAAGAATGAGAACATCCTCATCTCTGAAAGAGTGACCGCTGGCCTGTAAATGAGTGAAAACTGCAGCGTTCTGGCCATTAGATGTAGCTCGTCTGTGTTGGGACATTCTTTTGAACAGTGGCTGCTTTGTTTCCCCGATGTATAACTGGTCTCAGTCCTCCTGGCACTTAACAGCATATACAACATTGCTCTGTTTGTGCCGGGGCACCGGATCTTTGGGGTGAACCAGCCTTTGCCGTAATGTGTTTTGGGGTTTGAAAGCCACTGGGACATCACGTTTAGAAAATAAACGTCTCAGTTTCTCCGAAACACCCGCAACATACGGAATAACCACTGGTGATGTGAGTATCAGTCACATGGAMGCAGMGCTTAAAAGCCTGAATTTWGCCTGAAACTCTCAGACTGAAGAAGTCTCTTGGAGGAGAGACGAAACGTTTCATTAGAGAAGAACCCGTCCAGAAGACCTATACTATTTTTTTCTTTTTGATTTTTTTACCTGGATTACTGAGATGCATCAGGACACTTTTAGCATTTAGCACTTTGTGCTACTTTTGGCATTTAACGTTGAGCTTCTTTTAATTTTAAGAGCCAAATTTTACCTTTTTTTTAGAAAATTTCCGCCATCACTCAGCTGTTTAAACCTGCAGCTGTGATTGGTGGTAAATTCTGACATATTTTGATAATTTAAACATTTGGTGTGTTGTGTTGAAAGACTTTATTAACTCTTCAGTTTTGTTCTAAAATTTCTATTAGAGCCCATTGTTTACCAATATTGTTACTGTTCAATATTACAAACAAAAAATTTAAGAATATTTATGTTTAATGTGTCCATATAAGTTTAAAAACTACATTTGGGATTAATTAACTTTATTGTTGATTTACTATATATTTATAGCTAAAGCAGAACCATCTGCCAAATTTGGCCCAGAATAGGCTACCTCAGAGGCCCGAGAGGAGGAAGTGAAAACAGTATGACACATTCAATGTTTCCTGACAGATAATTTGAATAAAACGTCTGGAGAGAGAGAAAAAAAGCAGTTAACCATGTCTATGTGTTATGTAATGATTCATTTTTCACTTTAACATGAAACATAACAGGTTTTAGGCTAAAAATAATCACTGTTGAGAAGGAGAAGGAGACAGATGGACAGATCCGGAACTTGTCTTCGGTAATGAAGGTGTTGCTTTGGTCAGTTGCGGTGAAGAAAGAGTTGGGTCAAATTTCTTGGGTTACTGGCCTAAAGTTGTGCACAACAGTCCCCATGTGCCAACCGTGGCAATAAATATTTAAATATTCAAAACAATATCATTAAAAATGTGTTTTCTATATATTTTTTTACAGATGTTTGACGATATCAACGGTTGTAACAACAACGAGAGCATGATATGCGGCGAGGAGATATGCGACGAGGAGGAAGAGTTCCAGCAGAACTTCTACTTCCTGCCGGTCCTCTACAGCATCATCTTCGTCCTGGGCCTGTTTGGGAACGGCCTGATGATCGGGGTCCTCCTGAGGCGTCGCCATCGGCTGCGCATCACCGAGATCTACCTGCTGCACCTGGCCGTGGCGGACCTCCTGCTCATCTTCACGCTGCCCTTCTCGTCGGTGAGCAGCATCGCCGGCTGGATGTTCGGGAACTTCTTCTGCATGCTGAACGGCACGCTGGAAAACCTGAACCTGCTGTGCGGAAGCCTCCTCCTCGCTTGCATCGGGTTCGACCGATACCTGGCCATCGTTCACGCGGTTCCCAGCATGCAGAGTCGACGTCCAATAGTCGTGCACCTGACGTGCGCGTCCCTGTGGTTCCTATGTTTGACCTTGGCCCTGCCCAATGCTGTGTTTCTCTCTGTGGTGCAGTACGACAATGATTCCATGCCCGACTGTTATTATTATCGCTTTGACATCCACTCTCACAACTGGGTCATCGCTAACAGAATCATACACCACATGTGCTTTTTCTTCTCTTTGGGCGTCATGTGCTACTGCTACACCATGCTGGCCATTACCCTCTTCCACAGTCAGAAAAGCCATGCCAAGAAAGGCGCTATTCGCCTGGCTTTGCTGCTCACACTGGTGTTCTGCTTCTGCTGGTTGCCGTTCAACGTTGCGTCGGTTGTAAAAACCTACGAAGAGCTGAGAGTGGCGACGGAGAACTTCTGCGAGTCCGTGGTCTTGAAGCAGGTCTACTATGCGACGTATTGCCTGGGGATGTCCCATTGCTGCCTGAACCCGTTCCTGTATGCCTTCGTCGGTGTGCAGTTTCGCAACGAGCTGGTTCAGCTGTTGTGTCAGCTGGGCTGCGGCAGAGTTTGTTTACCGTTTATCAGAGCTTCGGTTCACGCCCGCCCTTCCCTTTCGGAGGCAACGACCACCAACAGCACCTACATCTAATCGTAAAACTCATCCGTCAAGGAAGAAGATGCTACAACTTGTTCCAGAGTTCTGATAACAAAGTGCTTGTTATATTTGCTTTGTCTGAATTGTTGTATTTAATAGGGACAGCATTTTAGGCCCCAGTTCTGGCCCTCGTAATGCACCAACACTTGGCTCAGATACCGCATAGAATGACTGCTCTTTGGTGGCCCAGATGTGGTCCGTGCAAGAGTCAGTACCTGTTAAATCAAACCACAACTGGGTCTGTTGTGGAGTTGACAGATTTGCGCCTCATAAACCAAACCAGTATTGGGCCAGTTGTGGCATTGAAGGATTTAGGCCTTATAAGGCAAATCACAACTGGGCCAGTTGTAACACTGACGGATTTGGATCATCTAAATCAAACCATTACTGGGCGAGCTGTGGCAATGAAAGATTTAGGCCTTATAAATCAAACCACAACATGCTATTTGTATCACTGACGGATTAGGGCCACCTAAACTA